CTTTCCTTCTTACTTGAATCCCTTTTTCCCTTTTTTTTTTATCCCCATGAGATAGTTTCCCTTTCTTCCTCCCTTCACTCTCTCTGTTTCTTCTTCCTCTGTTCTGAAAAACACTCAGGGCACTGGCAGGAACTGTCTTCCTGAATTATAGGTGGCTCACGATGCCACTGAACTCTGGGCCAAGACCACTCTGCAGGCAGTCTGAGAAAGGCAAGAAATGAAAGGGTGGAAGTCCAGCAGGAGCCTGAGGCAGTACAATGTCTTCCACCAGAGCACGGGGTTCTGGCAGAGTTGCCTGACATGGAGAACGTGGAAAAAAATCCATGTATGCCCATTCCTGGGCAGATGGCAAACCTAGCAGTGGGCACTAGATCCTGTGTGGATACTCTAACTGGGTTGGATTCAAGTGCTCTCTTTCGCCCTATCCTGAATCCCCACCTCCCACCCCTTGTGGCTCTTAGCCATCGTCCTCATCCATGAGCTTTAGCACTAAGGCTGTCTTGCCAGGTTTCCTATTTCAAATTCTTGGACCAAACTCTCAGATTTTATGCCTATGTGGGCAAAATTATTATTGTACCAAATATTAGACACAAAACATTCCTAAGTGAGTATATGATAACTACTGCATAGTACAAAGTCCTGGAATCTCTTAAAAAGATTTAGATCATGGATTTAGAGCTGAAAGGCCTTGGAAGCCACCAAGTCCAACTTCATGACCCATTTTACAGATGAGAAAATGAAGCCCAGGGCCAAGTTCTCATAGATAATAAGTGACCAAACTGGGATTCAAACCCACTCCACTCCATCACAATGTCTCTCAAACGAACAACATTTTTAGGTTGCATTTTACACTCACATTAATAATTCAGACCCCAAATACTTGCTCAATTATCTATGCATTTCAGGCATAAAGGATATAGGACCTTACTTTTCAGGAAAATTATCCTCACTCTCTGCCTCAATCTCAATCTCCACCTCTCTACTCTTTCCTCAGATACTCTGGCCACCACCGAGATGCAGAGCTCAGTGTTCAGGCTTTAGCTTTATGGTACTCATCTCTTCTTCT